ACCCCTTTTCATTTCCCTAATGTACCCCACCACACACACACACACGCACGCAACGCACGCATATGCACCCTTGCCTGGCCCTAACCAGTAATTTCATTGCCCTAACCTGGTCCCCATCATCATGATGGAGAGCACCCCCCCCAGCACCCTGCAACTGTGTGAATCATTGTGTGTGTGTGTGTGTGTGTGTGTGTGTGTGTGTGTGTGTGTGTGTGTGTGTGTTTGTCCAACAATACAGCATTTTTTAAATGTTAATTTTGTTCTTTTTTTTGTCTCTATGCGTATCTCTGGGCAAAATTAGAATGTGTGTCTATACCCAGGGAGCAAAACAAATCAGGTAACCTAAACAGGGAATGACAGAATAAGTAAAGAGGTAAAAAGATGAAAATAAAGATGGAAGCTGAAAGAGGGGTGAGACGTAGACAGGGAGAGGAAGAGAGGGATTGTTAAGGAGGGAAAGCTGTCAGGGAAGGCCGAGGTGCAGCCCTAACCCCTCTGCTTGCTTTAATCCCTCATTTATGTGAACTCAGCTTTGGAAATGAAGCTGTCACTGTATTTTCCTTCCCTTTGCCGATGGTGTGGTTGAATCAGAAACCCACACATGCATGCGACACATACACACGGCCGCATTACGGAGACACAGAAAATCACTCAGGAAAGGTTTTAAATTCATTCCAGAGTTGGAGGCAGAGATTCATAGAGCCTTACCTTGTCTCCTAGAGGAGGAATCGTCTTATATGTGGAAGACAGAGGGGGAATTATGGGTAAATGCACTGGTGAGGAATGATAGTCTGCAATCTCTGGCTCTAATCTGGGATGTTTGGCACATGCCATTCATTTCAGACTTCAGCAACAATATTCCGCTGCACGGAGTAGAGCCTGAGTATGTGACTTTGCAATCTTTGCAGCCTATTTGCCAGAGAGAAATCTATTCAAACAACTTGGAAACAGCCATGTAAAGCTGAATTAGAAAATAAAATCTGATACACTCCTCCTAGAATCATCTTCGTATAATATATAACACCTTTGATATAACTTAAGATGCAAAGGAGCAGTTTTAAATTGTAATAAATATGAAAAATATGTTAATATGTTTCTCACTTTTGTGAAAAAAAAATGCAAAAAGGAAATGAGGTACAGTTTACCACCTTAAATGCTAGAACTAAGGAAGTAGGGTAAGGCTTCAAAAGAATAATTTAAAAAGATTTGTAGTTACATTGATCTCATTATTTTGACCTAGAATGACAAAGAAAGGACAAAGTACATTAATAAAGGGCAAGAAAAAGTCTATTGCAAAACCACAGACTTACACTGCCATCTAGTGGTCATGGGAGAAATAGGGTGAATGTTTGATGGGTGGATAGAGGAATCATTTTATTTGATGAAGAGATGACCAGGACGTTAATCAGGATCTTGACAACTCACAATATATGAATGTATTTTATGAATATATTCATATTTTTTTCAGGCGAGTTGAGCAAAAATAAGAGCCTCTTGATATTCTGACAATTTGTGAGTCTTCATATTTCAAAATGAACAAATGTGTGAGAAAAGTCCAAACCATGCCTCAGAAGAAGTTAGCAAATCAAACCTAAACTTGTGACAAAACCAATAGAAGACAAAACAAATCATATTCCTGTCCATCCTTCGCTCCTCCGTCCTCCTCCAACTCCTCATCCCTTCATTTCTCCCCCTCGCTGGCCTCCTCAGGTGGAGCGAGCGCGTCATACTGGTGTGTAATAGCATGCTGTCAGTGGTGGCCGTTGTGAGGTGTGGGGAGTAGAGCGGTGCGTCTCAGATGAGATATGTGACTGGCATGCTAACACACAGTTTTATCTGAGGGGGGGGGGGGAGAGAGAGGGCCCCCACATCTCCTCACTACAGGCCTTTGATTAAAGCTCCATGGGAACACGCACATGCACACACTTCCAAGAAACACACACACATTTAGAAGAGTAAACACATGCACACACTTCCAAGAAACACACGCACATTTGGAAGAGTAAACACATGCACTCGCGTAGATTATAAATACATTGCACATGAGAGTGTACACACACACACACACACACACACACACACACACACACACACACACACCCTCCTATTGTAGGTGGCATTGTTTTGACCTGAGCCAGGTAGCTTGTCCATTATGGAGTTGATAGGAGGATTTGGCCGTGTTGGTTCTAGACAGCATATCCTCTGCCATAAATAACCAGAGTGTTTTCTCTGAGTCACACAACAATATACAGAGAATTAGAGCTCTCGGCTTTATCCTCCGGTCTCATCGGGTGCTCACAAACACACACACATACTAAACCCCCAAGAAAATGATTGTGTGAACGGACATAAAAGAAAATCACAGATTTAAAAGTACAGTTGGCCCCAGCACGGCTCAGTTTCAGCTTATATTTCCATTTGATATTCTACTTTGGCTTTAGGGTTTGTTCTTCTCAGATGGACAGTCGGCGGGGGGGGGGGGGGGGGGGGGTAGTTTGATTTTAGATGAGCAACTTCATCCGGTGGCGCGGTCTCAATAGCTCGCCAATAAAGCTTTGGATACATATTGCACAGCTCTGACCAATGAAAGTGTGAAGGTGCATGATGACTTCCATGAGGGAAGTAATGGGCCAACCATGCTCAGTGTGTGTGTTTGGGGGGGGGGGGCATATTGAAGTACATTTCTGTCAATTTATCATCATCTGTCTGTCAATATGAGTTTTCCCTTCAGGATCAAATATGAAGAAAAAACAAAAAGCTGAAATGATTGTTGTTTTGTCTGTAGCAACAGATAAATAGGAAATAAATTAGTTTTTTTTCCATCTCACACTTTCTTTATTTTTCCCTGTTTTATAGAAGCAGAAAAATGAATGAGTGGGCCTACAATCATTTCACTGGATGTACTGACGCAAACAACATCTTCTATAAGGAGTCCATTAACAATTGGTGCACTATCCTCTTTCTACAGTTAGAGGGTGCTATTGTACAATATCACAGAATCTCACTCAGTTTCAATTAATCCACACTCCAGTTCTTCAAATTTAATTCATTTATAAATTACGAAATGTACATATTATCAACACAGGAGTTTACAATTGAAATTGATTATTCAAATATCTATACTCATCAATTTGAGGACATACAGAAAGTTCATAAAACATTAAAATCGCCCACATTTTTTGCATTTAACTTAATATCTGTACAAGTTATTTATAAAGGACATTTTTGTTACTATTACTTTGACCTTGGCCATAGACTACAATACCCCTTATATTATGTTCAGCTGCTGAACACGTTTATTACAAATTTGCACTATATTTGCCATTTTATAATTTATACTATATAGTTTTTGTAGCTTAATAATAAATACAAACCTCTGAATCTACTTTTCCCACACAGTAAAATATTATATGGAAATTATGATTTGTTAAGTTTAGATTAGATAAGTTGAATTGCCATTGTGCACCTTAGCTTAGTGACATGACTGAGTGAGTGAATACTGAACTGGAAACTATAAACTATTTTAAGGTGACCACAAAGTTCCCTTTGCTGGTTCCGCTGGTGAAACCCAACTGTGGTGTTCTGTTAGTCACTTCTTTTAAAACTGACTCACTGGAGTTTTTAAACTGGCAGCTGTAATCAAATCAGACTTATCGTTACATCACTGCCAGGCGTGGGGTGGGGGGGGGTAAAGTCTAACCTCAGACACTGAACACAGATTGCTTTCGTAAATTTTATATCATGGCTGGGATGATGAATAGAGGGCAATGGACCTGATCCCGTGTCAGCTTCTCTGGTGTGTGTGTGTGTGTGTGTGTGTGTG